TGCTGCTTGCAACATATGGTCATATTTTTTTATTTTTTTTTTATTTTTAATCTGTGATGTCTTTCCGTGGGAACAAATCATTCATTCCTTTCTCCAGTGTATTTAATATCAAATTGTGCGAATATTGACATTAATGTGAAATGATGTACATTTTGTATCAAGGAAATACGACAACCATAATTATTCATATTAAAAATTAAAATGAATTAATCAAGATCTTTAGATTTAATATTTCAAATATTTTTTTAAACTATATCATAAGAGTGCATTTGAAACCATTGCAAGGTTGACTTCATGATAATACTATCAACACAACAAAACCATTCTTTTCAATTTGATGAATAATTATAATTTAAAAATTCAGAAGTTAAAACCCCGATTGATTCAAAGATTTTCGAACAATATGAATTGAGCTTGTTGATTGGCTGATTAGATTCAACTGCATTTGAATTTTTTATAATGAAGGAAATGGGTTTGTTGGGTGGATAGTAAAAACTTTTATTTGAATTATCACATGACTGGATCATCTGCTGATACAGCAGATTAAAAATAATACTCTTCCACTTTAACTTTAAATATGTATTGAGAAATATTATCTTCATTTGAATTTTCCCACAATGCCATGTTTCTGCTCAATTATACATGCACCAACTCTATACATACATGTAGCTCGCAGAGTACAATACGCGACAGGTACTCAAGAAACGTAACTAAAGAAATAAGAATTATACGCAGCTAGGACAATACCATTCGATCCATGGGGGTGACAGTCCTACGAATGTGCCGACATTGTCGAAGGACAAGGACAGGAAAAGTTTGTGCAAGTGTGGCGAGACTCCCGTAGTTACGCGGAAATTATTTACCTCATGTGAAAAAAACATGTTTCTCATTGTTGTGCTATATTGTATCGTATCATGGATCTAGGTAGTCCTGCGTACAGTCTATGGAGGTACGCCGGGCTGTGGTGGGGTCGTCTATATAATGTTATAATGTTACAATGTGAAAACAGACAACCACTCAGCCATAATACGTATCGAGACCAAACATAATTTGTCGATAATCGAGTGTTGCAAGAAAAAGTGAGATTGTCGCAAAATGTAGCAAATCGTTTTCAAAACAGTGCCGCTGAGAAAGTCTCGCTTTGTTTGCGCCCACTGTAAAACCATGTATAGTAAACAAACCGCCCTTTTAGAAAATATTTTTATTAAAAATAAGTACAAGTCAACTAAAACGAAAATTAAAACATGTATAGTAAATAGACAGACACCCCGCCCTAGTGGAAAATATTTGTATTCAAAATTATTCGAAATTGACAATGCTATGATAAACGTGTTTTTCGTGTCGCTATAATGCAGTATCAGAACTCCAAGTTAAAAT